GAGCACAAGAAATAGAGGCACCAGTGACGCTTATTTCAGGCGGTGGACCGACACCGACTCTTGGATCAGGTCGTACTCTGGTCGTCCAATTGTTAGGAGAGGAGAAAAATCGTAAGGTTTGGCGGACAGAAGGGAGGTAAACGCCAGTGGCGTCTAGAACTTTGACATTATTCTTGAAAAGCACGCTGGATAATGATAGAGCGATAAATGATAACCACAAAAGAGTGTATGGATAATCCAATCTACCCAAAGTGATTAGACCTTTATCAAGGGGAGGGGGCCACGCTATACATACCCTGTCGAGAGAACTCCGCCACGTCCTTGTTCGTGATGGTGGTGATGCCCGGCATCACCAGCGGAGAGAAGAGCATGTTCTAAGGTCTCTTTGCAGATATAAACTGCTGCGAACATTAGGTAGACGGCCTGCGCAAATATAGCAGTAGTTTCCATCCGCTTAGCTCTAGAGATCGAACTATGTTAGCAGGAATCATCATTGCACAGTCGAGTGATAACGTACCCGTAAGGTAGCCTCAAGCTACCTTGACCTACGCCGGCTTCGACGAGACGTCCATAGACGCCTAATCCGACACCAAGCGCATCAAAGACTATCCAATAAGCTAATCCAGTGCAAGCTAAACTTTCGGCGTGTTGCCCCATAACCCACAATACGCAACCCAGTAAAGTTTCTAAAGAAGCAAAGGCAAGGCTATTTCGCATGTGTCCAGGGAGAGTCGTAACCTTATCAACGAGTGAAGAAGAGCGCTGTGTAGAAGGGTTCGGAAGCGCTGCAGGATGAAAGGCCATTGTCCGTTTAGGGGGAATGATTTGAGCCGATGGGAAGGCTGCGGCAGTGGTGGAAAGAGGGAAGGGTGATATGGGGCCCCAACCACTGGCAGTAGGAAGAGCGGAGATCGGAGTATTAGTAGAGGTTGGAGATGCGCCAGTGACGCTGAGCGTCAAGCCTGAAGATGGTTGCTTCCTGTGGTTATATGCGGGCGAGGAAGCTGAAGGTGAAGGCTCCATAAATGAGAAGAAACTATGAGACAAAGAGTGACGATGATGGTGACCTCTTCTAGAAGCTGTGCCAGTGCTCTGTGATGCGCTCGTGTTAGGGGTAGCAGCCTTTGACATAGGCACACTGCCAGGTCCCTCAGATCCAGTTGGAGACGTATTTCCAGACTGGCTTTGACTATTCGAAGTAGCTGATGGAGGTGGTTTTCCACCAAATTTGAAGCCACCTCCTAACTGTGTGCGTGGTTGAGGCGAAGAGACAAAAGAGGACGATTGGGGCGTCGGTCTAGTACGTCCTGATCCAAGAGTCGGTGTCGGTCCACCGCCTGAAATAAGCGTCACTGGTGCCTCTATTTCTTGTGCTCCATCTTCTGCTATCGAATGCACAGTAGTAGCGCCCGGTCGAGGGAAGTAAATTGAGAGATTCCGGGAGTGGATGCGTGAATGTCTCCGTGCATGGGCCGAAGAGGAATACACATGGTACGAAGAGTTTGATAACGTTGGAGATGGAGGTGCGTCGCTCGGAGGGTTTGGCCCCTGGATCGAGGACGACGTGGACAAGGTAGAATCGGGAAGGTTCTCATCGATCGAAGCAAATGTGGACCGGAATGGAGAGCCTGCAATGTCGCTATTCGTACTGGGTGATCTGGCATGGCCACCCCTGAATTGGAACCCATGTGCTACTGTTCCCGGAGGTCCATACGGTGCCGCGGCTTGGCCGTTCGGAGTAGAGTACTCAGGTCGTCCAGAGACGCTCGATATGCTTCCACGTACATTGTTCGTATCAGACCCATACGAACTAGTGCTACCATTTCTCATATGGCCAGGGACAAAGGAGGTGCTGCTCCCATTTCGCTGGTGACCCGGCACGCCGTTGAGCACGGGTGAACCAGAGGGACTTCCGGGTTTGAAAGAGGTACGATAAGGACTCGCAGACATTGTCCCGGGCGTGCCATATCCGGGATTGGAGAGCACTCTTTTACGAGTCGGTGAGATGGTACCATTTTGTGTCGCGCCAGGAGAGAACACCGAAGGAGGCATGCTATTACTCGTTGGTGACCCATTGGAGGTTATTTCCTCTTGTGAATACGACGGTAAGGAAGGGATGTCCTCAAACTCGTAGCTACTGCGCCTCCCATGTTTGCCCTATGACGAGGCAGTAGCAAGTTAGACCGCGCCATGTACACAAAATACGAATAAAAACATCAGCTCCCTGTGCTCTACGTCGGAAATGGCCTGTAAAAGAGACAAACATACGTTTACTGTACTCATCCGAGAAATTGGCGGAGGAAGTCGGCTTTGAGCTTGCAGAAGTGTTCTGGAGGGCTAGCTGCAGCGCTTGGAAACTTTTCTTTCAAGTAAAGGACCGTAGGATCACCTCTTTACCCTGCGGGGGTCGATCTGCGGGGGAGGCCAAGTGTTACCCTGCGTACGAGTCGGGAGGAAGTGTCAATTCGGCGAAGATTGTGCCACCTTCGACTTCGACTCTTCCAGTTTCCAAAACCTTTGCACGTGTTATCGCATCATTATAACCTATTCACGAGAAAATAGACCAAGTGACGATTTGGACAAGCTCGTATTCTATTCGTAATTTACTTTGTCATGGCAAAGCGGCTATCGACCAAGGAGGATTATACCACTCTACTAGAGAAATATGACACCTTTCTATTTGACTGCGATGGTGTTTTATGGAATGGAGACAAACCTGTAGAGGGTGTTATCGACGTCCTCAAGATGTTGCGAGCGAAGAGTACGTCGCGTTCGCTTGTTTATCAAGGATCATCAAGAGACTGACTGATCGTCAACTTTTGCGTCGCAATATACTCGGTATTTCTCTCATGTTGCAGACAAGAGTGTGATTTTTGTGTCCAATAACGCAAGCAAGTCGCGGGTCCAATACATAACCAAATTCGACAAGCTAGGCATACAAGCAGAAGTGGTGAGTCGAAAGCTTCTATCATACACTGGTTGATCTGAGTATGATCTCCTTGACTTCCCGGTACTGATGCGCCGTTCAGGACGAAGTCGTTGGTTCAGCCTATGCTGCTGCTGTGTATATCTCCAGTGTCCTCAAATTTGCTCCAACTGACAAAGTATATGTCATTGGTATGGCCGGTCTCGAAGCGGAATTGGCTTCAGAAGGAGTCAGCTATCTCGGCGGGACCTCTCCATCCGATAATACACTTGAGCCATTCGTACTCACTTCGTTCCTACCAGAGAAAGATCCCAACGTCAAAGCCGTCTTGTGTGGGCTCGATATGTCCATCAACTACACGAAACTGTGCAAGGCGTTCCAGTATTTGATGGAAGGGGAGGATAAGTGCAAGTTTCTAGCGACGAACACAGATGGTACATACCCAATAGAAGGAGGTTTACTTCCTGGTTCTGGGACATTAAGTGCATCCCTCGCATTTGCATTGGGAAGAAACCCATTATCGATTGGGAAACCTGGGAAAACCATGATGGACTGCATCAAAGCCAAGTAAGGGATACCTACTTCTTGATGATCTCGTTGCTTTTATGAAACGGTTTAACTGTCTTTGGGCTGTGCACGTCTGACCTCTTGGACTAGGCATGATTTCGATCCCGCGAAAACCATCATGATAGGCGATAGATTAGACACCGACATCATGTTTGGCAAGAATGGAGGGGTCTCGACCTTACTAGTCCTGACTGGTACGTTCTCGACATTCCTACGAGCTAATCCTTCTCCTTCTTGGATAGAACGTAAACTGACCTCCTTGTGCTCCTCTCCCCCCTGGACATACTCCACGCCGGCGTTCTTGAAATGGTACTCATCTCAACTCACCATTCACTCCAACAATCACACTTCAATTCGCGGATACTTCGGCACTTACGGGCTAATGGGCACCTCTCCCGAAACACCTGATACTCCATGCCATCGCGCTACGGTCCCGGCGTCCCTGCGACAAAACAATCACGTTGTTTACGAAACGCCTGTCTTTCCGTATGATCACGGTCCCGGCGCGTCTGGTCTAATAAACCGCCATCGGACTGTTCATGCCCCGACAACTTCGGTCTTTGCCACGCCATGATCGAATCAACACTAAACCTTTCGTGGAGGGGACGATGGCGGTTCAAACGCGTTTTTCATTAACACCACGTCCTCATTAAACTGCGGCTTTTGAACAACGACCCCGTTTGCACACTTCAATTATCCCATACATGGATTTTCTATAATGAACTCGCGGGACGCGGCGAATTTTTCTATCTTTACACGGTTTATTGATGTTCTGTAGGTGTGACAGATGAGCAAGGTTTATTCTCAGCCCCGGCATATTCCATCCCAGATTTTGTGATG